CGTCAACTCACGATCCACGCGAGTTTTGGCAAATCCAAGCATTATTAGACTCATTCTACGCGGATTTTACTGGCGCGTCTCGTCCAGCACATCTACGCACCGCAAAACGCGTCCCAGAAGCGGCTAAGAGCAAACTCCCCACCCACATTGTCGCCCTGTCAAAGTACGTATCAGTTCCCAAACTGGTATCCGTCCCCAATATAAAAACCCCAAAGAACCGAAATCGCTCCTTCTTCCTTACCACCATGGCGGACTTTGTCGTCCCCGGCTCCCCCGCTGTTCGCGCCCTTTTAGCCGCCAAAAAGAAGAAGCCTCCACGAAAGAAAAAGCCCCCCGATGTCCCACCACCTGATGCCCCCGTCGCCGGCACCATCGACGAAGCCACTGGCTTTGTAAATCTTGCCGTCGCTCCTCGCTCCGGCAAGGGCTCCCGCCGCCGCGATCTCAGTGCCCAGATTCGCGAACACTTTGGCACCGCCGACGCCATGGTCGCCGCGACCGAAGCCTTCGATAAACTCCACCTGAAACCGATATCGATCTCAACGAAGGCCAACCACGACTCAGCGCGGCGTCTGTGGCTCGAATGGTTCACGTTACTTTACAAATCCCCTGGACTGGCCGAAGCCACACTCGTTGTCGACGCACCCTTCCCTCCGGTCGCGGAAGTCAAGCAATTCATATGCTTTCTTGCCTCACAAGGCGCCTCAGGCCTCGGCATTCCTGGAATTGCGGGATGGTCTGTCCACACGACTCGCACGTTTGTGGGACGCATTTTCGCCATGGTACGTCCTTTTTTTCTTTTTTTTGTTTGCTCGCCTTGACGACGTTTGGCAGCTCCGGCGTTGCTCTACGACACATCCGACTCAAACAGACCGTGACCAGATTTTCGCAGTGCGTATGCTGTTCATTTTTTTCACGCATCACCATTGACCGCACGCAGGCCATCTCGACATGGGCGTTCGAAGAAAAAATCCTCACGACAAAGAAGAAGATCAAACAACTCGTTCTGGAGCGCGATCTGGTCGAAATATATGCGATCGGGCTGAGCGGCAAAGTGCACATTGTCTCAAATTTCATGGTGCGTCGCATTCATTCAGCACGTCTGAGTATAAACTAATGCCACGGTTCAGCGCTTGCAAGTTACGTGTATGTCCGGACTCATTTACACTCACGGCGTGCGCCCCGGCTGCATCGTGGACGCGCAGGGGTACGAGGGGCTCAAAGAGCATGCAAAGTGGGAGGTTCGTCATCTTATTTGTTCTTTCTTCTCCAACTCAACCGCACGCTTCCAGGACAGCGAGTGGGTCGTGTATGGCTGGGACGAGGGCGCTGGCCTCGGTATTCAATCGTTTTGGACCTGGCGCTGGTGCAAAGGGATGCGCTTTGATGAAAGCTTAAAGTGCGTGGCTTTGTTTTGTTCTTGTTCTTTTCTTACGGTTGTCCCAGCATCAATACCAACATGCGCAGCCTCGGCCGTTCACGAACGCACATCGACCCCCAACTGATCATCGAAGCACTCGCTATCGAGAACAACATCTTTGAACAAGATCTTCTCGCCCTCCGCGCGGCCGACCCCGCCACGCTTTCCTTCCCCCTCAAGCTTACCATCAGGCCGGAAGCTCGCGAACTCCCAATTTTCCGAAACACGGAGCGGACGGATGCGCTTACACTGAATTCGGCGTCGCATTTGCTGACGAAGCTGAAGAAGCAGCTGGGATGGACTAGTAAGCATAAGACCTGGCTTGTTCTGCAGATTCTCAACGCCAACAGACTTCTCGTTCATCACCTTCCGCTACTCCTACGCCGCTAGTATGGTTGACAAGGTTTCCAAGGTCAGCTCTCTATTCTCAAGCGTATCGGCGTCTCACAGATTCCAGACCCACCTGCGTTATCTGATGGGGCATACGATGAACTCCAACCTCGCGTTCACCACGTATCAAGCACCCGACCGCGCCGTCGACGTCTCGGGCCACATCTTCAACGAGGAAAACGTGGCGTTCGCAGCTAGATCGCAGGAACGCTCCTCCGTGGGCTGGAATCGCCCTCCCCCGCCATCGGACGACACGCTCTACAACGATCCCCACATGAAGGAGCTCGTGGGAGAGTGCGCGCGGCTGGAGGAGCGCGTGCAGAAAAAGTACGAGGGACGGACATCAGAAGAGCTTCTCGCGGCAGTGAGTTTCTCTCGCAATGCATCGTGCATCGTTCTGATTTCGTTCAGGGCGAGGAGGATCCGCTTATAATGGATGCGATGGAGATCAAGGCCCAAACGCTTGAATATTATCTGTCGCTTTCCACCGGGGTACGCCATTTCTTGTATATCTCCGACTCGCAGCTCATGAGTATTAGTCGCACCCGCAGATCGTCATCCCGAAGCCCGCCTCCGTCTCCGCTTCCTCGTCCGCCTCCGCCTCGTCCTCTGCCTCCACCCCCGCCGCCGCCTCCTCCTCTGCCTCTGCTTCGTCTTCCACCCCCGCCACAGACGCCGACGCCGACGGCGAGCCCATCAACGATGGCTCGGCATTGTACGATTCCATGATGGAAGCCTGGTCCACCACCGACGCCGTTCATCCATTCCTCCCCCTCATCGCGAGTAACCCCACGAACCCGCGCCTTGCCGTGCTCCAGCGTTACGTCGCCCTACTCCACATGGACCACGACCGTCACCCCGGGCGCTGCCTTTGGTGTTTCACGGACGCCTCGCTTACCGAGGAGGAGCAGAACAAGGACCATTCGGACCACTACGTTCAGCACGTCAACTCGTGCGAGCTCAAGCACAACCCGAATCACTGGCGCTGCCCCGTGTGCATCCAGCTTGTCCCCGTTGTTCCCAAGCGCTCCGGAGACTACGTTGTACAGCGCACCAAGGAGCGGACGGAGACCGGCGAGGATCCCGACACCGACGACGAACTACCCATCATCAAGCTCCAGTCCATGGTTGTTACGGAGGACGACGAGATGGAGAAGGAGGTCCGAATTGGGATCCACGAGGCCTTCGTGCAGCACTGCACGACGTGCTTCGAGCGCCTCGGGGCTCTTGTGCGCGGTGATCCCGCTGACAAGGACGATGACGACTCGGAGACCGAGACTGAGGCGGAGGCGGAGGCGGAGTTGGTGTCGGGGAGAGTTACCAGATCGCACACGCGGGCGGCGACATCCGCGAAGCCCAGTTCCACGGCGAGCGCGTCGAGCAAAAAACCAAGTTCCGCGGCGAGCGCATCAAGCAGCAAGCCACGTTCCACGGCGAGCGCGTCCAGCAGAAAACCGAGTTCTACGGCGAGTACGTCGAGCACGACGATGGATGTCGATATGACCAAGTACGTGACTATCTTATGTTTTTCTTCACAAGTTCTTTATCTGACTTGGAATTCCAGCGCGAGCGACAGCGACGTCTCAATGGCGTACGTCTTCCATGATTTGTATTCCCGCCATTTTTCTGATTTATATACAGGAGCGTGCGCACGCACGAGTCCATCATTCAGTCGACGCAGAAGCGGAACAAGGAAACGTACGACGGCGAGGAGTAAGTCTCCTTCATCGCTCTTTTGTCACCTTCTGAGCTTGATGTTCCAGCGGGCCTCGAGTGCTCAGCGTCCAGGTGCCTTTCGACGCAGGCCGACCCCAAGATCGCGTGCTGCGCCTCCACTCCTTTCTCTTTTGCCCTCTGTGTCTATTTAACCCGAAGCTGTTGTGGCATGCACGCCTCAGGTACGTCGTATTCTCACTCAATGTTTGTTGCACGTCTCTTTGCTCATGTTCCGCAGAGCGTACCCCAATGTCCCGAAGCTCATGGCCCATCTTGCCAGTCACTGGCACGGCACCAGCGCCGCGACATCAAGCACGACACGGATAGATTATCACGAGAGCTACAAGTGCAGGATCTGGGGATGTGATCATAACGAAGAGTACGTGCTTCATAATTCAATCCGTCGCCCGTACTCATGATTTCTTCAGCATGGACACGCACGGAGTCATTCAGCACCTCCACAAGGTGCACCGGTACAACCTCATTCAGTGCAACACGCACTGCAACGAGGACTCCGATTGCAATCCGGAAAAGTGCGCGGTTGACCACCACGACGAGTCCTGCTTCATTCTCCCCAAGAAATTCCTGTTTCATGCCGACGCGCTCGCTGTCGCCGACGCCAGGGTCCCGGCTAACAAGCGCCGCGCTCTCCCGTCCGCTACCCTCGTCGACTATCGCTCGGCCGCGATACGAAAGCGCTGGCTGAAGGGCCTATTTGAGCGGCGCCTCATCGACCCCTTCGACGTGGTCATGCCAGCAAAGCGTCGCGCTGGGAAGAAGAAGAAGGAGGAGCTCGCACCGCTCATTATGTCCCCCACTCAGACCGCCATCCATCGCTGCTTCGCGGCGATCGTCACGGAGCACGAAGCCTTGCAGGCTATCAATGTCCAGAAGATCGTCGAGTCCGGGCTCTCGCTCTCCGCCCTCGCACAGATTCGCCGCCGCGACTTTCCCGAGTGCGGTCTGGAGTTCACGACGCAGCTCCTCGGGCAGCTGCAGACCGCACTCAAGGCTTATCTGGCCGGCGAGGACATCGACGAGTGCGTCACGATGCTGATGGAGGCGTACCCCGGGATCGTCACCGCGGACCTCAAGCTCAAGATGCGCCGCGAAGCGTGCACCGTCCCAGAATTCCTCGACAGCAGTCTTCGCGAGCTCGAGTCGGTGTACGGGATGACAGTCGAGGCGGCGGTGTGGAAGTCGATGCAGGGGTCGATTGAGGGTTGGCTGACGGAGCGGACGGCGCAGGCAGACGGCATGGACATTGTAGAGAGTTCTTAGTCGAGTAGAATTGGTGTCAAGTAGAATTGGCGTCGAGTAGTAGCGCACAAGCAAATCGAGTAGAAGTTTTCGCCTCATCCAAACAAACACCGGACCACAGCCACTACGCGGATCACTGGGCGCTTGCACGTTTTCTTCCTTCGACTTTGCCCTCACCCGCGCTCTCCTCCCTCCTCGTCCGCCCTTGTCTCACAGCAGCATGGCGCAGTCTGGAAGCGCGCGGGGCCCATATTCTCACGTAATACGCTACCCCGAGGTCACTCGATCGAAACGAGTTGCTGCTATGGTACCGTACATCAACTCTTTTGTCAACACACATCGCTTTTTTGGTCTGCCCTTTCGTCCATTTACCGTCTTACTACGACCGCCATTGATCGCACGCCTCCAACTGCGCCATGTTCACATACATAACCCCACTTTGTTCCGAGTTTTGCATGTACGAATTGACGGAGATCGGCACGTTTATGTAATTGTCACTCCCTTGCGATCCTTACCTGTTCAAGGCTGTTGCAGTCTCAATGTATAGGCTTTTTTAGGAGGCGAGGGTTTGGCCCTTCTTGTGATAACGGACTTTCCAAGTCGCGACAGACGGAAAATAGTATACTCGGAGACTTGGGCACGATTGTGGTTGATCGTGCGCACTCCTATAAGTGCTGCGGAATGAAGTGGCTCAATGCAGCCTTCGGTGATTGCCTTTGGGTACTTAGCCATGTGAGGGAAATTTCATCCTGATTACCGCATCTCGTACATTGTTGCTTCATCGAGGTTGGAAAAGTTGAGATCGTTTCGACGTCGTATGAGTGAGGCATTTTCAGCGTCCGAGGCTGGCTATTAGTCCATACATCGGTAGGCGAAACGCTACCCTGGCAGTGGGACTCAGACATCGTGAGCGTCTGATCATACACTGGCAATTATTTTTGGAATGCTAAAATAAGTGATCTTCACAAGTGTACAGGACGACGACCAGAGGATCATACTTACCATCAAGATATATCCGACCTGTAGAAACGTTCCTACAATTCTCAAGACGCGAACACACGCAGATTTGAACTTTGAACGCGATGAAGGCAAAGAATGGATGAAAGGGTCGCAGGACCTTTATCGTCGCCGAAGACTTTATCGTAGGCGTGTCGGGCCTTCAGGGCGCGTCGCGACCCACCGCGACCCACCGCCCTCGTTATTTATATCTTCCAGTCGCTCCACAATCCGCATGGCCGTTCCTTAAAATAACTGTCGCGCGCATCACTGATTGAAGATCCAGTTACCGCGGTTGATCCAACTGGCGTTCAGTGGGTATAAAAAGGACAGCCGTTCCTTGAATCCCACATTCCTCTTCCCCCGGCCGCGCCACTTTTTTTCGTTTTCGTTCTTGCCTTCGCACTTTACTCAGAACTCGACGTTCTCTTGCCATTCCTTCCTTCTACCTTTTTCAACCAACCAAACCAACCACCACCCTATTCAACAAAATGCAGTTCTCCATCGTTGCCATCCTCGCAGCCCTCGCCACCGGTGCGCTCGCGGCCCCCGCACCCCTGTTTCTCCGCCAGGACACGTGTGACATCGCCAGTGCGTTTAATCCTCCTTTCTGTCGTTCCTCCGTCACTGACGTTTCAACCCACACAGACTGTGTCCTCGACCTCGCCCCCTCTGTCGTCTCGTGCGGTTCCGCCGCGGCTCAGGCCGGTGTCGGTACGTCCCTCTCACATCCCCACATCCCTGCCCTTTACTGTAAATTGACGCCATGTAGACCCCGTCTCCGATGCCAGCTGCTTGATCGCCGCCGGCAAAGACGTCGCCGACCTCCCCGCGTCGTGCAACGGTTGCGCAGCCAAGTTCGGCGTCAACCTCCCCTCCGCGACCGGCGTCGTGGGTAGCATCGAGAGCGGCATTGACAACCTCGGGAACGACATCAAGGGCATCTTCTAAGCCCCTTGATTTGGCGCCTGTTGAAGACAACGACAAAACTGATTTTTATTGTACATGGATGGTTTAAATTTGGGGAAGTAATGGAGTAATAAATAATTGTAATGCGATTTGCGAAACCGGTGTTTTGTGGGAGGTGCGGACGCGCCTTGACAATGGCTTCCCTGCGAGTTGACCCAAGTTATATGGTTTATTTCTAGAAGACTTGTCACCCAGTGTCAAGAACTCAATGCACCATTCGAATTTGCCAACTTCGTGCCCTCGCGCACGGCCTGCCTATCTGCTATACGTCTATGATCAACGCGCAGCCTTATCTGCAGCTGATTCATCGGCCCTCGTGCCGTATGACCCTTAGCGGTCCTCGAACTTGCTCTACTTATTCTTGTACTCTCCCACCACACGCGCCCTTCCTCCCCACTGAATCCTATCGCGCACAGGTATGCTGTTTCCTAACCCCTGGCGCATCTACTATCTTCATATTTGCCGTGCACGGCTACTATTGAATTGAAGCTTCATAATCATAATCTCTCTCTTATCTTACCATCTTGAACGGCCTCGTCCGCTATTTGTATCACATATATCTGGGGAAGGTGGCTTATCAACAAGTTTTCTCTTTAATTCCTTCTGGCCGTGTGGGGGCTTAAACACGGCCCGACTGGGATCCGTGATTCTCAAGGCCCATAAGGCGCGCAAACTGGATCTTGTGTTGAACTATCCTGGATCTATGCGCGCGCCGCTTTTACTGAACAACTCGGGAACTGGTCCTGATATTACCCAGGCTTCGAGAAACATTGGCTGTCCACGTCCGACATATTCTTTTGAGCATAGCGTTTTTTAGTTCCAAAACCTGTGCCGGTTGTCCGTCATCTCCCCGAAGCCGAAACCAAGATATTGACACCGGAGAATGGCACCGAGATCCTGCAAGCACTCATTTTCCGGCGAGACACGGTCTGTCACATTGCGAAATTAGCACACAAAATTTTCGCTGTCTTCGGGGACGAGGTGTGGCCTGAGGGCGTATAAGTATTTGTTCAGTAACTCTTTCTAGCTGGTATTTGGTTGCCCGAGATCTACCGCCTCTTTGAAGGTGAGCTCGTCGAGGGTGGTTGGATATTGGTGTAGTCCAGTACATTATTTATTCGGGCCGATGTACTGCAGTCTACAACCTGGCACGTTCCGAAATGGGACCACGCTGGGCTTGAAATTTATCCAGAGTCTTATCCAAATTAGTACGTGGAAATTCCCAGCGAAGATGAAATGGAGCTGTGCGGCGAGGTGATAGTTTTTGTCGACAGGTGTTCAGCTTACCAGGCTTCCGGGCCGCTAGTTACCCGATATCAGGCATCAGTTCACTGTAAAAAGCAGTGTCCGTCCTTAAGGCCTTAATTCGGGTTTGAGCGGTCTGTAAGGCCTTAAGAGGGGTTAAGGGCTTAATATTAAGGGCATTTTAAGGCCTTAAGAATATTTTCCCACGCTGTCCGGCGCATTCGAAGCGAGAGACAAATTGGTACTACTACCCGCAATATTCCTCGTCGGAATCGATCTCAATCGCGCCGTCGTCGAGATTCCTGTCCTCCTCCTCCTCTGCCAATGCTTGCATCAAGATCTCCTCTTCCTCCATGACCCGCGTTGATGGTTTCCGCGCCCGGGGTTTATCTGCGCCTCCGAACAATACCTGAAGAGTGAGCGGCTTCCAGGCTGGAAGGCGACCGGGGAGACGAGGGGTCACCTCCTCATCCTCATCGACATCGTCTCCCCCTGCGTCGTCCCGTTCCGCTGCCCTAGCAGCACCAATCCATTTCGCGACTTCAGTCCGCCAACCCTCTGCACTCGAAACTAGTGCGCGACCACGCTCGCTGGGATCTTCGTCATCGGCATCTTCGAGAAGATCACGATAGCGAGGGACGCTTAAAAGCGTCGCCGTGGATTTGTGATTCTTACGCCCCTTACGAGGCTTCAAAAGGCCGGCTTCGGCGTGTTCGGACTTGATTTTGGCTTGAAGCTAGAGGAGGTCGTCAATATCGCCAACCCGTTGGCAGTATGCACTCACCTTTGTTCTCTTGTCCATTTTCTCAAGCCCCAAGTTGTGACGATGGCCCGATTGCTCAATTTTTGTTCTCGAGAAGGTACGCTCACAGCCAGCTTGATTCGCGACGATGTTCAGAATGATGATCGCAAATTTGGCGAGTTCGCTGAGGTGGCGCGAGTCAACGACTGCTTCCCAGACCTTGATAGGGTCCGTATTCTCCTGTGGTAAGTCAGATGTGGGATGAATTCCAAACTATTGATTGGCTTACGTAGGTTTCCTCCCAGTCGACAGCGTCAAAATCGTCGAAATCACCCGTCCCGGACAGGTATTGCATAAAAGCCTTGGAGACCTCGTTCTCCTTGACTGTTCTCTGCTCCGGAGTATCTTCGTTATCGGGCCGAGAATTTATTCGACGGTATACCTATAACTTTCAGCGCTGATTTATAATATGAGGTGAAGACGTACCAGGATTAGAAGGTTGCGACATTTAAGTTGATTCAAGTTTGCGTTCGGTCCGAAGCAAGACAGTTTCTCGAACGGGTTCAAAATCAGGGCCAAGAGAAATACCGGCTGGTCGCAGTCCTTCCAACGCTTCTCAAGACGAACCAGCATACCATTGCGTACTTCTTGCTCCGGATGGTCAGCAAAGCGGAGGAAAATGCCGGCGATAGTGAGAAGGACCTGGTCGAGGCGCGTCGAATCCTTCTGGTTGATGTTCGTACCTAAACAAATGGGCTCGAGGTCTTCCAGAATCGTTTCGAGACCTGTCCAGAATGGTTTGTCCTCGATCAGAGCGCACATCCGCTCTGCGTCTTCTTTCAACCGTTGACCTTCCGTTGATGTCGCGGCACCAACTGCAGCTGCGATAATCGCATTGCGCTTTTGAAGAACAGCGAGGTGAAGAGCCTCGCGAAGCAGGAAGAGCCGCTTGAAAGCGACGAAATGGGTGGTCCAGCGCGTGAGGTTAGCAACCAGATAGACGAGAACGATTATTCTCCCCGCATTACGATCCATGCTGACAGCAGCCTGTGATTCGTCGAAGACTTTGCGAACCCTGCCGTGGTTATTGATCCACCCAATCAAGGCGGTGGCGTCCTCGGCAATGAGAGACGCCTCGATGTAAACCTTGAAGTAATCACCGAGGATGAGCTGGAACTGCTTCTACGTCAGCCCAGTCTGCAGAAGGGAGCTGCTTCACGAACCTGGTGGGCCCAACATGACGGTAATATCAACCACGGTCGTTCTTTTCCTAGGAGAAGCCTTCCCTTTTTGCTACCACCGTCAGCGTCGGTAGTGAAATAGATCACAATACAGCCATTCTTGAGCTCGATG